CTCAGTGTGTTTAAATTTCAACCGTCCCACCTCGTTGGCTAGGAAACTTTAGTTTCTTATCAAAGCGGGCTAAGCTGGCCAATATGCCAAACATCCCAATAATTTGTTTAATAAAGTAGATTGTACCTATACTTGAAAAATCAGCTCGAGCATCAACGGAGAAAAGATAAAAGTCAAATGGTTCCATAGGAGACGAACTTAGGTCAAAATGGTGGTTAAAAAAAATCTAAAAATTAAAATATAATATGAACTGACCACTTCTTGGCTTTGTTTTTAAATGGTTTTCAATTTTTAGGTATAACCTGATCCATTTTATATTTTTCAGTCGAATTAGTCGATCTAATAAAAAAAATTGTAAACCCCATTGAATATTTAATATACTATTTTAATTTTTGAGGACAAAATGTCAACATTAAAAGAAAAAAAGAAAAGGCAAAAGAGTCATTATTTATAAAGGGACGTTGGTGTAAAGCATTTAAACTTCAAAAATCTTGACTTTAGGGATTAAACCCCTCAACTTTTCTTCCTTCCATTTATGAGTTAATTACATCATTCATCACTCAACTTTACCAAAAGTTTCCACCAGTTCACTGAACTTTCAAAACTACGCAGTTAGTCACTAAACTTTAGAAAGTGCAACTCCATTCATCACCGAGCCAACTTCCGTTAGACATCTTCCGTTATCCATGAAAGAGGACCATCGGCGCACATCAACTAATATGGACATAAAGAAATATGCTTTATTCATCATCTATGTAGAAGACAAGGTCACAGGAACATACAATGAGCAAGTTTCTAACGATCTCCTACAAAAACATGCCATGTCGTCCAATCAGTTAGATGTCTAATAGAAGTTGGCTCGATGATGGATTGGATGCACTTTCCAAAGTTCAGTGACTAACAGTTTTGGAAGTTTAGTGACCTGGTGGAAACTTTACATAAAGTTCAGTGATAAATAGGATAATTAACCCTCCATTTGGTGATATTCAAACTTTATTAAACACTTTTCTGAAAACCTGCTCATGGAAGAACTTTGGAGCAATGCTTTACAACTTTAGAGGAATCCTTTCATTATTATTTGGTGTTATAATCTTGGACTTTCGATCTTCATACATATAAGAGCATATCCAAGAGACCCTTTAAACATGAGACATTTTCTATTTTAAATAGCGAACATTTAAAATCATATTCTAAGAGACCTTTTAAGTTAACTTTTTAATTTAGAGAGTGGGTTAAACCCACTCTTTATAATTAAATGCATTCATAGTTATTCAATTTTTAATATAGGAAAGTTACTTCAAAATTTTTACTCTTTAAATTTATATATGCTCTCTAAATTATAGAATATAATCTTTAAAAATATAAAGTTTCTTGAAAATACTCTAACATGTTAACTAACCTTTTCAATCAATATCTAAAACTTTAATTAGCTAGTGTTAGAATAGATATTTTAAAGGGAATAGATCGAAGTGCTCAAAGGATGAAGTCTTAAATCATGCATTATTGAAAATATACCATTTTTTCTATGACATGTCAACCAATTGATAATAGTCAAGTGGCTTTTTAACGGATTTTTTTTGTTGCCAATCTTTAAAAGAGTGTTTAGTAGAGATTAAATTTAGATTCTTTGTAGATTGTAATAGAAATTTTTGAAATGTATGGTTGAAAAGTTGTGGGAACCATGAAAGATGTAAATAATATTGATTATTTGACTTTGACGTAGATTAAAATCAATCTCAAACAAGCTCCAGGTGGCATATCAATGTATTTTTTTGGATCAAATTGAACAAAATGCTCATAATAATGAATTTTTTTTAATAAAAGAAATAGGCCAAATAAACACAAAATATGGCTTTTTCTATCCCTGGCATTCTATATTTTCATTTCCATTTCAACTCAAGGAGGATCATTTTCTGAGCGGATACTTAACTATAACCCTCTTTTTCAACTAATGTGTAACTTTCATCAGCGTAGTATCAAAATAAAACATATTTTCGATAGTGTAATTTTCTAAATCTTAAGCAGCTTTTCAAACTAAGATGTATAATTTTCTTTTTCATAATTCAGAGATAGAACCAATGTGTTAGAAGTGTGACTCAAATAGAAGTCTAAATTGCATTAGATTTCTTACCTTTTTTGGGACTCTTTTAGGGCTAGATTTTATACTATAAACACAAGGCTCCTCTTTTAGTATTGTTGAAGCCATTATTACTGTAATTCTCTCCTTTCATTGATTGAATAAAATAACATCGTTCCTCTGTCAGTTCTTTTATTTCTTTACTTTAATCTTGTTCATGGTTTTTCGTGATCTTGTTAATTACTTCAATTACAACAAGTTGTATTCATTAAATCTCAATTCCTACATTATTGAAATCGGTCTCAACAAGGGGTATCAGAGCGGGGTTGTTGGTAGATTTCTGGCCTGAAACTAATCGAAAATTGGTCTGAAAATTACCAGAAAATCATAAAACGAATCTGTCCAGTTTTTCGATTTTTTGCCGGATCTATTTTTTCTTTTTTTGGTCAAACCAGAAAGAATTTGGAGAAACGAACACCACCAGTGGACTCAGCAGACAGAAACGGTCCAGAAAGGGTCACGGGTCGTTGGCGCGTTTTCTGGCCAGTCGCGGTGGTAACTTCGGTGAGCGAGTGGCGGTACTTGAGGTGTTTTTCGACGACAGTGTCTTTAGAAAGTTCTCTTTGGATGACGAGACGGACATTGTGGTGATGTCCAATTTCAGTTTTGGGCAAAATTGTGGTTCTGGACTATTTTGCCCCTTGCACGTTCGGTAGTTTTCAGTTTTGGGTGTTGCAGGTTGCAAGTTCTTCCTGATTTGATTGAGATTTTTTAGAGATGAATTCATTGAAATATGAAATTCCGCTATTAGATCGCAATACAAGATTTTCACTGTGGCAAGTAAAGTTGAGAGCTGTGTTGACGCAAATGGATCTTGATGATGCTTTGCTGGGGTTTGATAGGATGCCAGTAAACTTGTCTATGGAGGAGAAACAACGAAAGGATCGAAAATTTTTAGCGCAAATCCAACTTCATTTATCCAATAATTTGCTGCAAGATATTTTGAAGGTGAAGACAGGGGCTGCTTTGTGGCTCAAGCTGGAACGGTTGTGGATGACAAAGAGTTTGACGAGCAAACTGACTCTAAAGCAGATGTTGTATTCTCATCGCATGGCGGAAGGAGGGTCACTGCAGGACCACCTTCTTGTGTTCAAGGAGATCGTTGCAGATTTGGAGATGTTGGAGGTAAAATATGATGAAGATGATCTAGCCTTGGTCCTGTTGTGTTTGTTATCCAATTCTTTTTCGTCATTTCATGATGCTATTCTGTATAGTCGTGACACGTTATCCATTGAGGAGATATACAACGCCCTATTCTCAAAAGAGAAGATGAAGTTGTTGGTTGGAGATCCTGCATCTAGGAGTGGGGATGCTCTTGTTACTCATGGTGATCGACGGAGGGGTAGATCGAATGTGAAGTACAGCAATGTGTATTGTTATTACTGCAAGAGGAAAGGACACATCAAGAAAGATTGCAACAAGTTGCAAGGTAAAGGTGATTTACATGCAAATCATGTGGGGCAATCAGGTAATTCGAACGAGACTAATATTGCTGAAAATTTTTGTGATGATGGAGATGTGATGTTGGCTGTATCTGACGGGGAATCCAAACCTGAGGAGTGGATTCTGGATTCTGTATGTGCGTATCATATGTGTCCCAATAGGGTTTTGTTTCAAACATATGAGACGGTGAAGCAAAGCGGAGTTGTCATGGGAAACAACCAATTTTGCCTGGTTGCAGGAATCGGTCGAGTCAGATTGAGGCTACAGGATGGAACAGTGAGGACACTTGATCAGGTTCGCCATGTTCTAGACTTGACAAAGAATCTCATATCACTGAATACCTTGGATGAAAAAGGGTACAAATTTTCTGGTGGAGGTGGAGTCTTGAAGGTTCGAAGGGGTCCGGGTTGTACTGGAGGGACGGAGGAAATCCCTGTTGTACATCTTGTAGGGGAGCGCATAACCAGTTTAGAGACATTTGGACAAGTTCAGTACCGTGGTGGACATTCAATTTGGTACAGTACCTCTCAGGTTTGGCTCTGGGTCAATTAAGAACTTTGCTCAAGGGAGTGTTGGTGATTTCACTTTGCCACCAATTTTAGCGAGTACACTGTGTTCTTGTAATGCCAATGGACTCATGGAGCGTAGGTACAGTTTTGGAAATGTCTGTAATGCTTTAAAAATCATTGAAGGTGACAATATTGGCAAGGGACCTTTTGATTGTGCATTTGGTGTGATTTTTGCTACAGGGTGTGCTTAGACCCTGTCCAGTGATTGTTAATTCGATGAGGAATTTTGGGAACCCGGGTTTGGGTCCGGGTGTCGCTTGTGGACGCCGGGCTGGGGAACGTGTTATCGTGGAGAGTTTGATTATTGCGTTGAGGAGATTGGTCAGTTCATTCTGATGTAGACGGATTATTTCTCAAGGTGGAGAAATTTTGGAGCTTCGTTCGTTACACCAGAATTTGAGTCAAGGTGGAGATTGTTAGAAGTGTGACTCAAATAGGAGTCTAAATTGCATTAGATTTCTTAAATTTTTTGGGACACTTTTAGGGTTAGATTTTATACTATAAACACAAGGCTCTGCTTTCAGTATTGTTGAAGCCATTATTGTTGTAATTCTCTCCTTTCATTGATTGAAAAAAATATAGTTCCTCTGCTAGTTCTTTTATTTCTTTACTTTAATCTTGTTCGTGATTTTTTGTGATCTTGTTAATTACTTCAATTACAACAAGTTGTATTCATTGAATCTCAATTCTTGCATTATTGAAATTGGTCTTAACACAATGGCCTCGCACCTTTGAAGAAGGCAGATTTTAACAATCTTTCATTTAAAACTTTTCTTCTTTTCCCTCTTCACTATCTTCAATAGGAAAAATGATTAATAATGGTAAAACTTTCAAATTTTGAGAGATCTATAGATGCAAATCAAGATCTTCGATAAAAAATAAAACCTTCATTACCGATTCTAAGCTTGTTTACAATAGATTACTACATTGAACACAACACTAAATCGCGTAGCTAACTTGTCGTACCAAGAAGTACACTACTCAATAAGAGGCCATAACCAAGTGGCCTGATCTCCAACTGGAAATCTCAAATTGCTTGAATTAAGTTGTAAATCATCCTAACATTCATCTTCACGTTTGGCGAAGCAAGGTGGGGGCATAAGGCTCCTGCTCAGGTTGTCATCTTTGTCTTGAGAGAAATCTGAGTCGAAAATATGCAAAGAATCAGATGGCTCTAAGAATGAGGAACGAATCCCATCATTATAACGTGGGCTCTCTAAATCAAAAACATCACTTTTTGCAGAAGTTGCATCCTCTTGTTTACAAATCACCATTGGTAGATTTGATGCTTTTGGTAAGGCAAAACTGGGAAGTGGCTTGTTTTGTTCTGAGCCTGCCCACAATGGACTTGTGGGATCACATGGCTCTGATTTTGGCTTTCCTTTCTCTCTTTGAAGCAACTTCTCTTTAAGCAAACGAACCTACAAATGATAATGGCTGAGAAATTAGATAAAACAATCAAAAAACCCTAAAATCACCTCATATAAAAGTTTAAGCTCTGATAATGGTCCGTCAACACGCACTTGACATGCTCGTTATTTTTGTAAACGGTTAGAAACTCAAGGCTCATGTTGCTTTGACACCATATTAAATCACACTACGAAAGAGGAATGCCCGGTAGTCACTCTCCAATAGGCAATATAGCTTTTCAATGAGGTGGTTCAATGAAAACGTCCAAGATTTAGTTTAGCCTGTACGATTCATCCGATTTTAATTTCCTTTTTACCTTTGTTACAATCCAAATTATCAAATAAGCCATTAATCCAACTTCCACTTGAATTGAACAATGCCGAATACTATGAGAAAACATATAGATTACCTCATTTTCCAATTTCTCATTCTCTTTGAAGAGGCTATCGTGATCAGCCTTAAGTTTGTCATAGGTAGCTTTCAAAGAATTGTAGTCCTTCTCCATCTGCTTGGTTTTGTACCTGGCTCTCCTATTTTGATACCAGATTGCAACTTGTCTAGGCTGCAAACCAGTTTGTTTAGCAAGCTGAATCTTTCTCTCGGTTTCAAGCTTGTTTCCAACTGCGAAACTCTTTTCAAGAAATTGCACTTGATCAGGCAAAAGTCGCCTTTTCTTCTCCAGTTTGCGAAAGCACTCATCGTAATCCTCACTGCCATTTTCTTCTTTGTCAAAGAATGGCTTATCTGTCAAGTTTTCTCGGTGAACATCTTCGAAATTAACAATGGATGTAGACCCTGAAACTGATTCACACACCCATCATCATTCATTTAATACTTGAAATGATATATTTTCTATCTTAATTTGCAGATTCGCAAACTAAACATCTCCAATTATGTTGGACTTTACAGGGTTCTGATGATATACAATATTTATTTTTCCAATCTATGTATCTAAAGCACAAGAATGAGCCCTTGGACTCGTTTTGATGTGCTTCAAAGTTACTTCTCCAGAAGAAGAAACTTAAAAAGTATTCTGAACACAACAAACTTACTCTGTCCTCCAACCTAGTTCATCTCTTGTTCTAAATCGAAGAACAAATAGCAGTTCTGTCAAACATTCAAATACAGTGCCTAAATCAGTAAAAAAATTGATCCTCGAAGATGCTAAATGCAAACTTATAAAAAAAAAAAAAAAATGAAACTTCAAGAAAACTATGCAGAGCATCTTGCAAATTACAACAACGCACGAGTAAAAAATTAAGAAAATTACCATGAAAAGAAGCGGAAGAACAGGGAATCAATAGAGAATCGAGAACATTAGATGAACAAGGAAGCTTTTCATTTTTAAGCAAAACAGAGGTCATTTTGTAACTATCAAACACATCCCACCATTCTCCACAGCTGTAACTTCTGGTTTTTAACGGTTTCTTATTTTATGGGCACTGGAAAAAGTAGCAAGAATTTCAAGGCCTGAGACGAAAGAAAGTAATGATGAGCATAAAGTTTATTTGGAAGTACCGAGGGGACACAGCCATCAGTCACCAGTAACTGAGGAGAGAGAAACAAGAGAGAGAGCTGTTGAAATTTGAGTGAAGATAACTATGGGATTAGTGAGAGTTCTATGGGAAGGGGAGCTTAAGGGGAATTATAAGTAGCTGAATGCAAGGAGAGTTTCTTGTAACACATGGTAAAGTTACTAATGTAGCATTGATAGAGATTTTGTCCCTATCTAAATCTGCGGCTCCTTAGCCCTTGTTTGCCTACCTCTATTTTTAATTTCTTTTTTCTATATGCTCATTTTCAACAACACGTTCATATAATAAAATATTCTATATATAAACTTAAAAATTTTTCTATACCTTTTAACTAGACATTCTTTTAAAAATCACTCTCAAAATATTAAATTTTAAAAATAATGTTCATCAAACGGGAGCTTGGTCTTAACTCATATGTCATCAAATCTATTACTTTTACCTTATTGGCGCTCAAAAGAAGTGTTTTGATTGATGTTAAGTGCTTATTTGATTTGGATTAAAATTTGATTTTAATTTAAGTTAAAATCAAACAATCAATGTTAACCACATCTTTTATGGGTTGCACAACTTTTCAACCACTTATTTAAGAAACTTCTATTACAATCTACTAAAAATTCTGATTTTAGTTCTCACCAAACACCCTCTAAATAAATTTAAGTGACTTTTGAAGTTTAATGACCTACTTAAGTTATGTTGAAAGGTTGGGTGATAAATATGTTTACATGTTTATCCGTGCTTTTATACTTAATCCGTGTTTGGGCTCCATTAAAAATACACTTTGGGAAAAAAAAATCATTTTTTAGGAGTGATATTTTAGAGAGTGTGTGGTTAAAAAATAAGAAAGGGTTTTGAGTTTACAAGTAATATTATTTCATTGAAAAATGTGAGTGAAAATAAGAAATAGGAAAATGTACTTTAAGAGAATGGAGCCTAAATAGGAGTATTAAAAAATTATCATTAATTATATGAATATCTATATAATTTAGTGTAATTATGCTAATTGTAGGAAAAATCTAGACTTAAATGCACTTGACACGAAAAATATGAGATTTGAGTTTAATCAGAGTTGACTCATAGCAATTGAAGACCAATAGAATTGCATGTGATTAATAAAAATATTAAGATAGCAATCAGAGAAGATTCACAAGTTTTAGAAGCTAATTTCAACCGTTGAAAAGTTTAGGGACTAAACTGTGAGCTTAAGCTTGAGAGGGATCGAATACGGATGATTGTGGAATGATGAGGATCGAAGTCTAAAGATCCATGGTGCAAATAAGAAGATACTCAAGCTAAATCATAGAAGAAATTTAGGGACCAAGTTGAAAGGGAATAAAAAAGAATTCCTCGCGATGCATTGCAACCATGCAAAATTGACGATCAGTATGTCAAAAGCTTGTGCCATGTGATCGCAAGCAATTATACCATGCAATCACATGGTAGTTTGGGGGTAGATTCAATTTTATTTCCTAGTTTAACTCAACTTTCAGATGGAAAAGGTTTAGTGCACGATTTTAACCTAATTCTTGGGGGTAATAAATGCAATCATTCATCTTTAAGCTTTTGATGCATAAAACACAAAATCATATACATTAATTCATACAATTTCTTGTAGTTCGAAAAAGAAAAAAAAAATTAAGAAGATTAATCAATAATTATTGAAAAGATTAAAGAATTTAAAGATTACCTTACATCTTCTTTTTATGCTTAAATTCTGATTGCTGTATTATCAATCTAATTTGTATTTTTATAATATCATGATACTCGGCTAATTGTATAGACGCTAGGATAACAACAAACGCTATATTTTAATATTTTTATTTTCATTTTTAGAGTTGACTTTAAGTATTTGTTTGGTTTGAATGATTTTTAGGTTATTAATGCTTTTTAATTACTTGATTAATAGTTGATTAGATTTGTGATTTCTACTTTGTTCAAGAAAAAGTAAGAATTATAGTTGGTAGTATCAATCATTGTAAAGTTCGATAAGTGATAGAGATATATCATGTTAGATCCAAATTATAATTATCAATTTTCAAATTTGTAATCGACAATTTCATTAATCAAAATCAAGTCTTAGTTGAATTGTATTAGGAGTTTATTGAATTGT